ATTACTCGCTACCTCTCTCTCCTCTCTCTCCTCTCTCTCTATATATATATATATCTATCTATCTCTATCTTTGTCTCTATCTTTCTCTCCATCTGTCGGTCGGTTCTCTCCTCGCCGGCCCCCTCTTTCCGCTCTGATATCCACGGTGCAAAGGGGAACGGACGGAGCACCACCGCCAGCCCTCCTTTGAAAATTTTCCCCCGCGGGCCAACCGGTAATTTGACACGGCGCGAGAGGGCCATCCGCGAGGATCGATCATAACGGATGTGTATCGTCGCGAAGTGGGAGGAGGGGTGTGGAAACGAGTGGAGAAAAAACGAATGAACGAACGAGTGGAAGGATTTTCTGGTTCGAGGACTATGGTTGGAGGATCGATCGAAGCGTCACGAAGAAATTTGAAATTTTTCTGAAGATGTTATATACGAAATATATGTATACGGTTGGTTGTAATATATATATATATATATATAACGAAAAACGAGAGAAACCTTTTTAAAGTAATTTCTACGGAGGGGGGGGGGGGAAGGCTGTGCTTTGTGATAAGACAGACCTGATTTGAATATTTCTACGCGGAAAGGCACTTAAAATTCTTCTCCCCTTAAGATAAGTTCGCGCTCATTATCTCTCTCGGAGGATGGAAGTTTTATATCACGGGGGTAATCTTCTTTGAATCGTATCTTCCTTCCGCGGGAGCGGAAAATTTTCCCAAAATTTTCCAATTTCGATAATTATTGCTCGGAAGGGAACGAAACGATATCGTGAAAAAAAAAGATTCTACTTCACTCGAAAATCGAAGTGATATGCGATTGGATATGCGATTTATACGCAGCTAATGCTAATATCTTCTGCCTTGCAGGAAAACGCTGCCCTGCTGCAGCTATTCGGCGGCGGAAACCGGCGGCCTGGCGAGAAGTTCCGTCCTGGTCAGGGTCGACCCACGGCCCGGAAGCGCCAATTCAGGGAGCTACGCGACCATCGCCGACCTGGAGCCGCTGTACGCGAGACCGTGCGGCTCCAGGGCGAGTTACTACGCCTCCAGTCACGTCACGCATCTCAGCCAGGTATCGTGCGATCGTCGTTTCGAATCACCACCAAAGAAATGTCTAAGCTAAGAATACATTTTCCAGTTCCAATTTCGAGTGAATGTTTCTCTTTAAACTGATGGCTGAATTAGTATCTCTGGAAATCTTTTATTCCGGATTTTTTTAATTCTTAGATTGGGTTATATTATTCACGTAACAGGTATATATTCTCTGAAATAACGTAACAGGTTTAAGAAGCGGAAACTAAGTCGAAAGTAAATGAGAAATCCTCGTTGCACCAAAAAGGAATATTATCAAGTCAAGATCAATTTCAAGCTCATGTTTCTCTTTAAATTGATGGTTAATGGCTGGTAAAATTGTTGTCTGAAATTTGAATCCCTTTTCTTCTTGCAGATTTTTTTTAATCGTTAAATTGGACTATACTATTCACTTGACAGATATTTCTCTCGAAATACTCAACTACGACTGAACTAACTATACCGTTCCCTGAAATAACAGGTTTAAGGAGCGGAAATAAAGTCGAAAGTAAATGAGAAATCCTCGTTGCATTAAATAGGAAAATATTACCAAGTCAAGATCAATTTCGTGAACGTTTCTTTTTAAATTGATACAATTATTGTCTCTAGAAATTTGAATCTCTTTTTTTTCCACATTTTTTTTAATCGTTGGATCTGTATCATTCACGTGGTATCTCTCGAAAGCCAAATTACAAAATGGTCTCGCAGCCACGACCGAACCGTTCCCTGAAACAACGTAACAGGTTTAAGGAGCGGAAACAAAGTCGAAAGTAAATGAGAAATCCTCGTTGCGCGTTACCAAATCGGATTTCTTCTCTTCGTCGTCCTCCTCGTTCTCTCTCTTTTCTTTCTCCTTCTCTTTCGCCGCGCACCAGACAGAGACGACACGATTACTTCCTCTCTTCCACCTCTTCGCGTCGTCCGTGTCGCGTGCGAGTCGAGAAAGAGAAAGAGAAAGAGAGAGAGAGAGAAAGAGAGGCACGGTCGAAAACTTGATCGAATTTGCGGTTAGGGGAGAGAAGGGGGGTGGTGGAGCGTGGGCCGTTTTCCGCCAACAACTCCTCCCCACTCCGCCTCTTTATTCACTCTATTTCAAACCTTCCTCACGCTTGCCTCCGGAAACTGGTACACGTGTTAAATCCTTTTCCCCTTTCCTGTTCTTTCCTTTTCTTCTCTCTTTGGATCCTTGGAAGGTTCTCTCCTTGGAGAGATGCTCCTCTTCGGGGCAACGGTTGGAGAGAAGGTTTGCTTGTGGAGGAACGAGTTGTGTTCACGCTTGATTTGCGATACGAGAAGCGAGAAAGAGGATATACGTTTCGTTCTTTCCTTTTTTTGAAGGAAGAGAAGGATAAGAAGCAGGACGGATAATACTCGTTAACATTTTCCAATCTGCTACTTATTATTAATTATTTTGAAGCTGCGAAAGAAAGAAGGAAATGTTAGAGGAAAATATTAATATTTTCCAATCTGCTGTGTTATTAACCATTTTGAAGCTGCGAAAGAAAAAAAAGAATTATCAAATTCCTTCCTTCCCCGATATACCCCCCACGATCACAAGAGACGGTATATATTATTATAACATCATTCTTTTGATTCAAATTCACCTGTTACAAAACGGATATTACGAGTGTATAATTGCGTAAACCGGTGATCGACGCTCGGGTGAATAATTAATAAAGCGGAGAGAGTCGACAAATTGGATCGATCGTCTTCTTCATTCTCGCGTTCTCTTCCCGCGTCGAGGAACGCGATCCCTCTCGCGTGTGGAGCGCCACCAGCCATCTCTTTGATCGCTCAGAATTCGAATTTCAATGGGAAGCGGGGTAAATCGAAGGAGAAAGAGAGAGAGAGAGAGAGAGAGGAGGGACGATCATGCGCTTTTGCTCGGTAAGGACGATCCCTTCTCGATCGACTCGTCGAAAAATTGTTTGTTGATCGAGAACCATATTTCTATGCATCTCTTCGTATCTCGCCTTTCCTTTCTTAAACTCTCATAGAACACAAGAAAAAATTATGCAGAAGAAAGAAAAAAGAAAATCGTTCGTGTTTAAAAATTTAATATCAACTACTCTTTCCCTTCCTTGACGACTCGATTCCGCGTTTCGAGCGAGAAATTGGAGAGGAAGAGGATAAAAGGAGAAATAACGTACAAAGAGAGAAAGAGAGGGAGAAAAAAGGGAGGAGGGGGAGGGGGGAGGGAGGGGAGACAGAGATCGCGCAAATGTCGAATAAATATGCAATGGAGTTTGGAAAGAGCAGCGAGGCGTGGCTCGATTCGCGTAACAAAGTCTAGAGGGGCACTTTCCGCCCGCGGAACGAGCGTTTTACATTAATTTCCCGGGGAAAAAGAAAGCGGGGTACTACCACCTGTGCCATTCAAAGGAGGGGAAGAGAGAGAGAGGTTGAGCGAAAAAGGTTACACACGCGGTTACCTTTCTTCTCCTCTCGCCAAGGAACCCTTGATGGAAGAGAGAGAGAGAGAGAGAGAGAGGCTGGGGAAGTGGGTCCTTCTCCTGTGATTGTTTCGGCTTTGATCTTGGATCAATTTACCGGGTATACGCGTATACGCCTCAACCCTCCTCCCCCTCCTCGCCTGAAACGCGCCACCAACTCTGTTGCACGAAGAAGAGAGAGAGTAGTCTTTATAGAAACGCGCGTGTGGATAGCGATGGGTTCGAGTAAGTCGCGAACATGGATAAATTCAAAGTAAGTAAGCGACACGAAGATGTTCGAATAATTGTGAATTTGAATTTTCAATTTTCGCTATTGTATTGTGTTTCGCTGTTGTATTATATTTATAAGAAAAAAAAAAAATTGACAAAGTTTCGTTCAAAATAATGGGAGTAAAGTTGATCGGTGAACGAAGAAATAAACAGATCGATCATTGTCCACATATCGAAATACGATAAGATAAATTACACGCAGATTGGAATAAATTTAATTGAGATTGATATTGAAAAAAAAAGTTCGTTTCACATTACATTTCGTAGAACGGAAAATTAAAATTGATCAACGACTGAAATTCCATTCAATAATTTTTTAAAAAATTAATAAATCCCGAACGAGAAATCGTTAAAAACAATTATTACCAGGAATCAGATTAAATCGTCCTCGATTAAAACTCGAATTTTCATTTCGTTTCAACATTCGCCACGCAACATCGCTCGATCCCATCGCTAAGATCCAAGTAGTAGAACCACCAAGCCAACCGAGGAGGCGAGGTATAATACGTGTAATACACAGGTATGCCAGCACACAGGTAGCCAACATTGTCGGGGAAAAACTTATCCTTGTGTAACCGTGTGTGCCAACGATCGTTCGCGCGTTCGCCCTCTTCTCAAAACTCGCCCAGTCATGTAATCCACGAGCAACGTCTTATCCCTCCTGTAAAACGATACGCTTGAGATCCCACCGTCGCCCAAGAAGAGGAAGAAGAAGCCATTACTGTTCCTGTCTGCCACCAGAGACACCATCTCTCGCCCCCTTGTGTGGAACAGATGCGTCTCCCCCCCTCCTTCCACCGATTTTCCCGATAAACTCGAAAAGGAACAACCGGTCCAATCCCCCCTCCCTGCCGCGCCGAGCGAGATAACAGCAGCAGTGGTCTCCGCAACCGTAGTCTCTGCGCCAATCAGAGACAGGGATAGACGTGCAACTTTTTAAACTGATGTGTGTGTGTGTGTGTGTGTGTGTGTCGTCGTGCTGCTACTTAATCCTCCAATTTTAATTTTTTTTTGCACACCACTCGTGCCGAATCGAAGAGATATATTGGTATTTTAGACGATCCTCTCTCCCGCTTAAAAAGCAAAAAGCAAGAGAAGAAATTATTAATGAAGCTGGGGAGGGGATTCCTTTCTAATCTTTTGGTTAAAAGATATAATATAAATTGAACATGGAGAGTGAGTGAGAAAAAGATTCCCTTCCCTTCTTCCTTGTTCCGGATAAAAATGAAGGAAATGGGGGATAAAAGAAGGTTCTTTAAAAAAAAAAAAAGCTCGGATCCTTCCTACAATCCTTCCGTTATTAATTAAATAATCGAATCGACGGGATTATTAAATTATCGGAAGGAAGGAACGGATATTATTAATTAATAACCGACTTCAAGTTGAAAAGTTAGTTTCGCCTGGACAGGAAAAAGAAGAGAGGAAAGAAAGAAAGAAAGAAAAAAAATGAAGGCAAGTGGACTGCCGAAAACGAGGGTGGAGGGTGGGGGAGGAAACAAACGAGGACGACGTTTGACGAGAGAGAGAGAGAGAAAGAGAGAGAGACTCTCTCGATAAATAAATCGAATTGATGCATTGCGCGCATCCGGCAAAAAGTTCGCCGCCGGTGGCGTTGTTAAATCAATAGCGATTCGATTGTGATTGTATAAAAAAAAAGCGATTCGTCAGTCTAGATTCAAGGTACAAGAAGAGATAAAATAAATAAATGAATAAATAAACAAACGAGTAAATAAAAGGAGAAAGATCGTATACAGCTTGTCTCTTCTTTTTTTTTTCTTCCAAATTTTAACGGAAAACGAAGCTTTATCATCATTCGCATGATGAGAGCAATATCATCGAAATCAATCGGATCGCTGCCAAACAACGAACCAAACGATCGAGAGGGAGGTGGAAATAATATTTGTATTTTTCCAATCTCAAAATCTGCAATTTGAACACAGTACGAATAATAATAATAATAATAACAATAATAATAATAATAATCTGCTCTCATATCGGAAGAAAAAAAAGGAAAAAAAAAAAAAGTCTACCGTAAAAGTGCGATCGAAACACGACGATCTAATCTCACCGCCATCGTGTCGTAACACGGGCGAATAAAGCAAAGCGTTTTGATAACGCGATTACCCCCGTCCTCCTTTATTTTTATAGCCCAGTGCGCTTGCTCGTAATTCACTTCAGCGGAGAGAGGAAACCCTGTTACTGGTTGCAAACATTATAATTAAAAAAGTGGTAGAAGCTTGGTCCGGTTATCGCCGGTTTAAACCAACGAAAGCAACAACGGTGGAAGCATCCGCTTTGCTCTCCATAATAACGAAATTATTGCACCTCCCTCTCCTCCTCCTCTCCTTCCTCTCTCTCTCTCTCTCTGTCCAATGGCCGCTCTCGCGCCGCCGCGATTATCGCAGTTAACAAAGCACGTTCGCTTCCACTATTACGTTCCACTATTTATATTTATAAGCTTATTCTCCGCCCGTCGAAATTCCACGCTTCGAATTCCGGCCGCCGTTCCTTTTCATACGATTATTATTTGAATCTTTCATCGTCTCATAGTCGCATTTTCATTAACGAAGAAAAAAAAAATGGAAGGGAGCAATTGGAAAAAAAGATGGAAACCGATGAAACACGATAAACTGTACAATAAAAAAAAAATTGTTTAGTTTGAGAGGGAAATCGCTTCTTTTTTCCGAATTATTACATCGTAAAACGAGCGTCATCTCATCAAGATAGAGAGGTCCTTACTTACTCTCCCCCCTCCCCTTTCCAGATTCGTACACACGTTGTCGTCGCGTCCGGTAATTTGCACGCGTCGCGCTAATGCTTCTCGAAGCATCGAGCCTCTTCTCCTTTCTCCTTCTCCTACTCCCACGTGGACAGGCACGTACACGTACAAAGGCCGTTGCACGCGTAGACGCGTGCAAATGGGATGGGAGGGGCCGGAGGCAAAACTGCGGAAAATTGAAATTAATGAATAACCGGCCTCCCCGGCCTCCTGTTTGCTCCCCGCCCCCTGCTCCTCCTACGCAACGCGGGGACCCGGTGGAAAATCGTCGTGGAACAAAGGGGAGTGCGGCTGGAGTACGATGGAAACGACGATATAACGATGACACGCAACGCTAGGGTATAAAAGCGCGGTGGTGTAGCGCAAGGGTTATCTCTTCTCCTCCTTCCTCTTCGTTCTCATCGTCCTTCGGAGACTTCGGCCACCTCTTTCGTGTCGTCTTGTTACAGGCGACAAATGCTTTTTTAACGAGTTCTCCGCCGTGGGATTTTCTTTCGTGATGAATTATGCAGGTCGAGAGGGGAAGGGGTGGAAATTGTTTAAGAATCTCTTTGCTGTCTGCTCGTCGTCGATATCGGATTTAATATCTCGGATGCTCGTTGATTTACAGTCGACCGATCCTTGCGAGAAGGCGAGGGCACTCGCCGTGTCGAGGTCCGCCCTCTATTGTCGCAATCTCGTGCAGGAGGGCACCTTCGGTCGGGTCTACAAAGGCACGTTGGAATTGGCCGGCAGGGAGCAAGAAGTCATCATAAAGACGGTCACAGGTATATTATATCGACACAGGTTGCAACAATTTATCTAGATTTTTATTCCCGATTCACGCGGTGAATAATAAATTCCTCGATATTTATTATGTATTTTTCTTCGAATTTTCGCGGTGATAGTCTGCGTTAGCGACGCGGGATAAGGTAGAGTATCGTGCGTACCTACAGTCGATTATTCGTGAAAACTTTCTTTCTCGCGACATTTTTTTCCCATCTTCGAAATTATTCAATGAATAATCGAGAGAAATTAACAATTTCAGAAGTGGCATCGGCTTATCAAGCCTCTTTGCTGGTGGTGGAGGGGTCGCAATTGGCAGGGCTGGTGCACGCGAATATAGCTTCGCTCGCTGCCGCCTGCCTGGACAGTTCTTGCCCTTTATTGGCGTACACGAGCACGCCGGGCGAGTTGAATCTGAAACTCTATCTTACCGACGGAAACCACCATCCCGGGACAAGGGATTTGGTGCACGTTGGTGCACAGGTTGCCAGAGCAGGGGCATTCTTGCACGGTCGTGGCCTCCTGCACAGGTGTGACGATCGCATCTCTACTCTACTTTTTACGTTCGACGCTCGAGGCCCGATTAGAGTAATTTTTAACCAATTTGTCGTCACGTACAAGTGACTAAGCGACTGGTAGATAGTCAAATACCATTCGTGTCACGAGCAAAACGTTATGTAAAGAAAAGTCAACTTAAAAAGGAAAAAAAAAAAAAAAAACAAAATACTTCAAGATAGATCGACAAGCTTAGATACGAGAAGGAACGCTCTGTAACGGAGCATACATATATGTAATTTTCAGGGATATCGCTGCCAGAAATTGTCTGATCGAGCCAAGCAGTCTTCGTGTCCGATTAGCCGATACGGCTTTGGCGCGAGATCTCTTCCCTCAGGACTACCATTGTCTCGGTGATAACGAGAACAGACCCATTCGTTGGATGGCCTTGGAGACCCTCCAGCACAATCAGTTCAGCACTGCGACAGATGTGGTGCGTATCACGAAGCACCATTGCCACAATCTAAACGTATTTAAATTACTCCTAAAAATAATTGCATATTAATAGCACTCTAAATGTAATTATAGCACGAGATATAATTGCTTCTTTTTTTTTTTTCTTCTTTTTTGCTGTATACATATACAGTTAATAAACGTAGGAATAAATGTTAATAATGTTTATAAAACTTACGTGGAAAAGAAAAAAAAAAAAGATTATTCCAAAGTTTAAAAAAAAAAAAAAAATTAATTTAAATCAAAAGATGTAACCGAACAGTTAGTTAATTTACTTATTAATAATACATATGCTTCATTAAAAATGCATGCATAATGCAATTTCTGTTGCAATATTATCGTGACTGATACATAGAATACAAAGTATATAGTTACTTGCAACAAATTATCATTTCCAAGTGACATTGTCGTAGATACGGTAGGCATTATCGGGAAGACTTAAAATTGAAAAAAAGCCACATGTCATAAATATGAATAGAATTTTAATGAATATTAATGACAGAAGAACTTGGAAGAAAAAAAAAAAGAAAAAAAAAAAGAAAAAAGGAAATTTAAGACTTACGTTACGCCATTGTCCCAAGCTAAATATTTGGCTGGAAAATTCATTCATCTTGCTCGAATGTTTAATCAATATTTTCGTTTCGAATTCGAAAAAAAAAAAAAAAAAAAAAGAAAAAGAAAAAGACGTCGCATGTTGTCGTTGTATCAACAACAATCGCTTGTTACACACATTACACTCGAAACGAAAATTGTTCGCATATTTGAAAAAGCAGTCGGAAATAAAACATTTTTAACTTTGTTCCCGATAACGAACGGTTTAACCGTAATGATACCGATGCAAATTCACGGTGATGATTCACTTTTACCAACACTCCTTCCTCCCCAAACTAACCACTAATTGTTCCACGTATTTCTCTCTCTCTCTCTCTCTCTCTCTATCTCTTCTTTTTCTTCTTTTCTCCTTTTCATTCCAGTGGTCGTTCGGTGTGTTCCTGTGGGAATTGGCGACGATGGGCCAGCAGCCGTACGTCGAGGTGGACCCGTTCGAAATGATGGCCTGCCTTCGAGACGGTTACCGACTGGCACAGCCGAGGCCCTGCCCCGACGAATTCTTCGCCGTGATGGCCGTCTGCTGGCTAGGCTTGTCCAGGGACCGGCCGACCATGCCCCAACTTCTCGCCTATCTTCAAGACTTTCACGACGCCCTCGGCGGATTCGTTTAGAATCATTGTTGTTCCTTCGAAACAACAAGCTTCGAGATCTTTCTCAAGGAAGGAAGGAAGGAAGGAAGGAAGGAAGGAAAGAAAGAAAGAAAGAAAGAAAAGTGTGAGAGGGAATCGATAAAGAGGAGAGTACACGATGGGTTTGAAAAAAAAAAAGAGAAAAATGGAATTGAAAATGCTCACTGCCCAGCGACGGTTAACTAACTAACCTTGTTGTGTCGTTTTGTTCTCGAAATTTCCTTTTGTCCCCTTTCTTTTCGAAAAACGCGCGCGCGCGATTCCACGGATCGAAAATGATTCGCTGGTGGACAACGTGTGTAGATAGATAGATAGATAGATAGATAGGTAGATAGATAGGAGAATCCCCTCAGATGATGAAAACATCGACGCGCGTGCACACATCCGTCCATAGCAGTTAAAAGAAAAAAAGAAAAAAAAGGAAACTTGAAGCGCACGATTATTTTTTTTTTTTTCGTTTTGTGTTTCTTCTCTTTTGCGCGACGCGTGCGGATGAAAACGCGGTAGAACGCACCTGTGAGCCTGCAACCGGTGCCGCGCGCCACGGTCTTTCGCAGCCACGTGAAATGTTGCCTAGCGTTGCATGCGTGTGTCCTTTATTCTCTCGAAACTTCGCTTCTCTCTCTCTCTCTCTCTCTCTTCTCTTTCTCTTTTCTAAATACGCAACATCGTTCTTCCGTCTCTTCGTATGGCATGGTTTGAAAAAAGAGATCAGTTTTTTCGACGCGACTACTTGGCTTTTTGTCGAGTATGATTCGAGCGCAACAATCAAAAAGAAATTTTGTCCAATCAAAAGAAAAAGAGAAGTTAGACCCGATCGAAAAAGTTTCGAAACGAAGGGGAAGAAGGTAAGAAAACTGTCGACGACTATTTTTTTAAAACTCTTTATGCTCGCGTCAATATTTTCGCGACTGTACATTTAAAATTAGTCGTTAATTCTAATGCGAGAAGAAGAAGAAGAAAAAGAAGAAAAGGAAACAAAGTTTTTCAAGTTTTTTCTCGAGCATCTGTGTTTTGCAAAAGTACATTCGGGATATCGATCGATGGTGTAACGGATCACGGTATTATGTTACGTAAGAATATACTTTTTATATATATATATATACACACGGAGAATAAGAAAAAACTCTCGAGCAGAGCGTTAGAGCATTAGGCGAGCTCGCCGAGTGAAATTATCTATGCGGTTATCTACAGTGCGCGTGTATATACACCGGTGTGCGTGTATAGGTGGCGTTTTAACCTGAAAAAATATTTGCTTGCAACCATTTTATAAATAATGCATTAAACTCGAAAAAGGGGAAAGTACGAAGCGAGAGGGGAGATGAAACGGTGGCGAACAATTTCACGTAGAATTCTCCGGATACAAATGATTATTAAACGCGAAACTAACGTGGAATCGATATCGCGAATGTATTTTGCGCATAAACATGACGCGTACGAAAATTGCTAACATCAAACCAACGGTTTTGAGGTTGTTTTAACGAGACGATTCAACTTGGAAGAACGTTCAACTATATTTCTACTACAATTTCTCACACATCGAAGATGCGAGGAACTCTATGCAATATGTTCACATTCATCTCTGAAACATCTCTATATGTATATCCTATATGTGTATATATATATATATATGCGTGGCACAGCAATACGACGAAGGTAATGAGAAAGGAAAATGACTCGCATTGTGAATTTATAAGATCGCAAATCGGGCAAATGTGGAATAATATATATCGTCATTGGGCAAGCGGAATTTCACTTGTATGCAGAAAAAAAAACGCAATCTCGTCTCGTTAACCTTTGAACACTCGCGTTCGTTCTCCTATTCGATGAAATCCTCCACCATTTCAAAGAACAATTCGATTCGTCCACTCGAGAGTCGCGCTCTCTCGGTCGTTGCGTATTTGAAGCGTAAAAAAACGAAAAAAAAACGCGGCATCGAATTTCGTGTTTACGTACCACACCCCGTCGCTTCGATTGTCCACCGTCCGAATTAAGTTATAAGGATGTCGAATTTTCGCCGATCGGCCTTTCTCATTATTCTTCCTCGAGTGACCATCCATCGACATCTCTCTCTCTCTCC